AGATTGATTGCTTCATATTGTCGCTGTTTCTTCAGTGCAAACGTGTCATCGCTACAAAAATTAAACTATCATTTGCCTAGTAGAAACTTAGATTAAAAATGCCGCAAACTTAATGGATGCAATCAGGGGATGTTTTCATTTGGAGCAAGTCTTATCGCCCATAAGCAATTCAACCTCCAGTTTCTTTCGATCCACTACTGCATGAATGCCTGTCAAAAATGTTTCTATAAATAATAGAGTGAGGCAGTCGATGGGAAATTTTTTTCCATTTAGCCAGCTTCAAAACACATTGCTCTTGCTCTAAGGAAACGTTGATCATTCGTAGAATTGTTGAGCAATTCAATACAGCGTTCAGCGATGTTCAGCGACCAGTCAGTACTTCTGTAAACCTTACATAAGGCTCACGATAAGTTGCCCCACCCCGGATACAACAATGAACAAATACTGAACGACAACAGCACCGACTAAGGTGGATCCATATCAGGCTGGCTATCCACGTCAGATTCTGGATCAAAATGGCTTTTTGTGTTTAAGATCGATCAGACATCAGACAGCGTACGGAACTGGCCTTCGGTAAGTGCTGGTCCGGGACCTGGAGGAACTTACACCGATCCTGTGTGTAGCAGCATCGCGGAGCATTCTCGGAAACAGTGTGGGACGGGGGCGAGTTGGGTCGGTTAGATTAGAATTGCAAAGAGCAACTGTTGTCTTTGTCAGACATGTGGTAAACGCAAAATCTTCAGAGCCACAGTCACATACTTTCAGAGAGCTCTGAATGGGAGCCAGTTCTTTTCTAGGGACACTGCCAAAGTAGGCCAGCGCAACGCAAAGGACGAGTCGCGAAATGCAGCATTTGCAGGAAAGTATTTAGCACCTCAGAATCTACACACTACCTCCTCAAACTGCCCAACGCCGAAGCCGATCACCGGTCACCGCACTTTATCAAACACAGTACCAGTTGATCAGTTGTGCCCAGCCAAGGCACTCACCCTCAATCAGCCCAAGGCTGAGTCTTTACCTCAAGGAAGTTGTCACGCAAGAGTTCAATTGATAGAGCAAGTTCTGTACGGACTCCGCATGCACATGCTGCAGCTCACAGATTTCTCTGAGTTAAGTGCTGGACCATTTTTGCTTACCCAGTTCCCCGCTTCTTGAACGAAGAAACGAAACGAAAGAAACGAATGAGACCTGGACTGTACTGGAGCTAACAGACCAATATCTCAGCTTACTTCTTCACGCATCGAATGGGGGACCAAGTGAGTGACAAATGTTCAACGTATGAGAAAACAGGCTCCTTGTGCGAGCCATCGTGTTGTCAAACTAGCCATAAACTTCTTTCTGCCTGAAGAAACTGTCGGAATCTCGAGTAGCATAATAATAAAATAGTAAACTCCTCTGACATGCTGAACAAATCGCTTCCGTTTCGTTTTGAAGTGATATACGAAGGAATCGCATTTAATGTTCAGGAGGGCTTCATGAATGGCTCTTCATTAAACCGGATTCTAAGAGGAAGTTTTACTTACACTTTTTTAAGAGTTTTACTACTTTCGACTTTTTTTTTCGTAGTATTGCTTACCTGAACAAAGGTGCAAGTCCAATTCGAGAAAAAACTTCATTTCATCGATATGTTCAATCAGATACCTTGTTGAGTTTTAGCTTGCGGATGACATCGCCCTGTTGTGTGGTACGGGAAGGGCGTTTTACTACCTGAAGGCTTCCATATGCATCACAATCAATCAATCAATCAATCAATCAATCAAAGGATTTGTCATTTAAAGTGGCGCAAATGGCACGTAAGACTTGCACTACTTGGCAGTTCAGTGATTCTAGCTGCGATATCCGGCATATTCGCTCATGATCCAAGGTCAAACGCCATGATGCATCTACAAGGCGTCGCAAATTAGGCCATGCAACGAGAAGATGAAACTGCAGCTGTCTGTCCAGCAATAGTACCAACCTGTTGGGGAAGAATGGGCAGATTGCCGTTCACGACAGTGCCATTGGTAATTAGCCCAATAATTCCCCAAAAATCTGCTTCATGCTTCTGTCAGGTCCCCATGTTGTTGCCCGGCGTGAGAGCAGTTATTGCAACGAAGGAGGAACAAGAACGAAGGTTGAACTGCACACAGCAGCGTTAGCTTCGACTTATAATGAGGATTAGATGGCACGACCACATAAGAAATCACTCTAATCCCTTCCGGGCACAGATGGCCTCAGCAGATATGGAGCCTAAGCACTGGAGCTTGGCACTGTTACACAAACTGGTTGAGCATAAACCATTCAGTCGAACCCATGAGCTACTGATGAGGGAGTCGACATACAACGTCAGGAGACCAGCAGGCAACAAGCAGTAAAAAGGTAGAGGCAGAGGTAGAGGCTTTCAAGGAGAAACTATTCCAACTATGATGCAGTAACCTCATAACAAGTGTTGGAAAGCTGCAAATACGCGGACATCATAAACCTGCGATGTGCAGTTTGCTATCATAATGGGTTGTATCGTATTGTGTTGGATTTTCGACCAATTAACTGGATATTATGAATTATGAAATGGTGACAATACCGATAAAAGAACCTGCTTAACAGTAACCTATGGTTAAACCATTCGATGACTTTGATGCACAACATGATTAATTGAGATCATTCACGTCTAATACCTAAGTGCATTCAAATTCATCGGATATGCACACAATTCCATGCGCAAGCGTTTGAAATGAGAGTACCCTAGAAATGGGACTTTCGGATTCTTTGACTATGATCACACATGCAGCTGTTTGTATGGTTGTTGAATCAATAAATTTTCTGCAAAAATGATTTCGTACATATAAATTAGAGCAACGGCAAAACGTCCAGCGAAAATCAAGCCGCGGTATCAAAAACACAATGTAAAGAGTGAATGTTGCACATTCGAAGCAACTCGTTTTCGGTTCTTGTTACGAGTGGTCAAAACTGCGAGGAACAACGGAAGGATCGAAGCGGTATGAAGATGGATTAATATTCATATTCCCTCGTTATGTGTGGTTATCCGGCACACGTGACGTATTTCTGACAGAGGAACACAGACCTGCGGATTTCGTTTCTGTCAGGTGCAAGGCACCAACAAAAGCAATGCGCTGAACGCAGAGAATCTCTACAGCAGCACCTACTTTGATCTGTAGTCACTGGCAGACGAAACTAGCGCTGAATGATGGTAGTAAAGAATGACAGTTCGGATGTGTGTTGTTACGCGTCGAAGCTGCGTTATGAAATGACTGTATAAAACAGTGCTCAAAGAAGCGT